TGTTGGTTGTGCTGTTGGCGGTTGTGTAATAATTTGTAGTGCTGGTGGTTGTGCGGGTGGTTCTGCATGTGGTCGTGCGGGTGGTGGTTGGGCGGGTGGTCGTGGTTGTTGTGCTGGCGTGGGTGCTGGTGGTTGAACGGGTGGTGGTGGTGTTGGTTGTGCTGGTGGTGTGCTCGTGTTTGTGCGAGTGGTTGTGTTTGTGGTGCTTGTGCTGGCGGTGGTTGCGCTGCTGGCGTCCGTGCTTCTGGTTGTGGTACTGGTTATGCTGGTGGGCTGCACAGGCGGTGGTTGTGCTGGCGGCGGTGGTGGTCTCGGTTGTGCTGGTGGTTGGGATGGTGTCTGGCTGCGCTGGCAGAACAACCACCCGCACAACCACCAGCATAATCACCAACACTACCGCCAACACCGACAACGGCACAACCACCACCGCTACCACCCGCACAACCGCCAGCACAACCACCAACGCAACCACCGCCGCAACCACCCGCACAACAACCAGCACAACCACCAGCACAATCACCAACAAAACCACCAGCACAACGAGCGCAACCACCAACGCAACCACCAGCACGGTCACCCGCACAGCCACCACCAACACAACTAACCGCACAACCAACCGCACAACCACCAACACAACCACCATCGCAACTACCAGCACAGCCACCAGCACAGCCACCAACGCAATCACCAGCACAACCACCAGCACAACCAACAACACTTCAACGTAGGTCAGCGAGGCTGAGGCCAGGCATGCCGTCCTAGTTTGTTGTAACCTCCTGTAGATGTAACTAATGTGCACAACATGTTTGTAAACACACATGTGTGCGTGTGTAACATGCGAGGGGGGGTCGCGAAGGGTCGGAGCGTCAGGAATGGCCAATGATGACTACTGTCAAGATGTCCGCAAATAGCCAAGGAGGGCCCAAACGAAGAGCAAACTAAACCAAATTGGCCATGAGTCCCCGGCACCCGATCCTAAAAACAATCACAACAACAGAACACAACACAACTTGGACTGTTGACCTTATTTCGGGCGTAGCCCGAATTTGTTTCTCGCGAGGGGAACTGACGAAACTGAACTGAGCTGGACTGAGCTGAACTGAACTGACAAGACTGGTCGCACCCGTTACGCGACGGTTATATTCTCGGCCGCCCAGGGCGCAACCGACGGCGCAACCGATACGAGACGGATTTGTTCTCGGCCGCCGAGGGCGCAACCGACGGCGCAACCGATACGAGACGGATTTGTTCTCGGCCGCCGAGGGCGCACAATACGGCGCAACCGGTAGGAGACGGTTTTATTCTCAGCCGCCGAGGGCGCATCCTATGGCGCAACCGATAGGAGACAGTTTGATCCTCGGCCGCCGAGGGCACACCATATGGCGCAACCGATAGGAGACGGTTTCATTCTCAGCCGCCGAGGGCGCATCCTATGGCGCAACCGACAGGGGACAGTTTTACCCTCGGCCACAGAGGGCGCAACCTAGGGCGCAACCGATAGGAGACGGTTTCATTCTCAGCCGCCGAGGGCGCATCCTATGGCGCAACCGATAGGAGGACAGTTTTATCCTCGGCCGCCGAGGGCGCACAATATGGCGCAATCGATAGGAGACGGTTTCATTCTCAGCCGCCGAGGGCGCATCCTTTGGCGCAACCGATAGAAGGACAATTTTATCCTCGGCCGCCGAGGGCGGACAGTATGGCGCAACCGATAGGAGACAGTGTTATTCTTAGCCGCCGAGGGCGCATCCTATGGCGCAACCGATCGGATAATGTTTTATTCTCGGCCGCCGAGGGCGCAACCTATGGCGCAACCGATAGGAGACGGTTTTCTTCGCGGCCGCCGAGGGCACAACCTATGGCGTAACCGATCTGAGACGGTTTCACTCTCGGCCGCCGAGAACGCAACCTATGGCGCAACCGATGGGAGACGGTTTTATATTCGGCCGCCGAGGGCGCAACCTAGGGCGCAATCGATAGGAGACGGTTTTATTCTCGGCCGCCTAGGGCGCATCCTACGGCGCAACCGATATGAGACAGTTTGATCCTCGGCCGCCGAGGGCGCACAACATGGCGCAACCGATAGGAGACGGCTTTATTCTCAGCCGCCGAGGGCGCATCCTATGGCGCAACCGATAGGAGACAGTTTGATCCTCGGCCGCCGAGGGCGCACAATATGGCGCAACCGATCGGAGACGGTTTCATTATCAGCCGCCGAGGGCGCATCCTATGGCGCAACCGACGGGAGACAGTTTTATTCTCGGCCTCCGAGGGCGCACCATATGGCGCAACCGATAGGAGACGGTTTTCTTCTCGGCCGCCGAGAGCGCAACCTGTGGCGTAACCGATCGTAGACGGTTTTATTCTCGGCCGCCGAGGTGCCATGAGAGGGAGAATGAGCAGGAAGAGTAAGAGGAAAAACGAGGACGAGGTCCTAGACGAGGACGACGAGGAGCAGCTGGAGCAGGAAGACGACGAGGAAGACGAGGAGTATGAGGAGGACGAGGAGGAGGACGACGACGATCAAGATGGGGAGGAGGACGGGGAGGAATACGGGTAGTACGAGGACGAAGTGTGGACATTGGAATGCGTGCAGGGCTAGGCCCGATGTTGTTCGCCGTTTAGGCTGGCGGTGAAGCCCAAGCGGCGAGCTGTCTTGTGATCTTTCTGCGGCGCCACTCCAGCTTGGCCAGCTGCGAGGGGCCCGAGGCGGAGCGAAGAAAACGGTCGAATTGATTTCGCGACGCTGGGTGTAAGACAAACAGTCTGCATACAAGATCAACGTTCAACGTTCGAAAGTCCGCGCGGATTTCTTCGGTCAGCGCTGGTTCCCCTCCTCACACCCCTTCCCTAACGAGGGTGTGGGAGACCAGCGCGAACCTCCGATAACCTCATGTTCATTCAGTTGCTGTGCCCTCTGCGTCAAGGAAGTGGGCGATCAAATTGTGAGCCCTGCCCCTGATGGTCAGACTTCAGAAACGACGGCGGGGAATTGGAGCTTGAAAGGTGCCTGCCGCCAAATGATCGGCACTTCAAAGATGGGGCGGGCCCTGCGACATCGGGTCTCGGGACGAGGAGGCCTTGAACCATGCGAATTCAACCCGGAAGCCCTTGCGGTCATGGTCCTATTCCGCGCGTGGAGTCAGGAGCACGCCTACACACGCCAAGTGCTCCGCGCTGAGCGTGCATTTTGAGCGGTTTGTACTCAGCGTGCATATCGGAGTGCTGTTTCACCCGACCCTACTTAGCGTGTGCGCCCCTGCGCTGCTTCGCGTGTCACTGGCTTCGGCTTCGCAGGGCCCGAAACCACACACACACACACACACACACACGCTAAGAATAGGACCGTGACCGTACCTGTCCCCAGGGCCCAATACCGCAGGGCCCGATCCCACAGTGTCTGCCCGACACGCTGACGAAGTGCCGAACGAGTGTCGCCTCCAGGGTCCGACACGTGCACGCCGTTCAATTTCGATACCTCCTTGGTGCTCGAGAGTCTTTCTTGTGATCGAGACTAGAGTAGGTTGGAGCCTCGTACATTCAGCCTGGGAGTCCCTACCTGTCCCCGGGGCCCCATCCTCCTCCTCCTCCTCCTCCTCCTCCTCCTCCTCCTCCTCCTCCTCCTCCTCCTCCTCCTCCTCCTCCTCCTCCTCCTCCTCCTCCTCCTCCTCCTCCTCCTCCTCCTCCTCCTCCTCCTGGGGCTCACGTGGCGTCGGGTGGCCGTCGCCCCTGGCTGGGCCCGCGCCCTGGACCCAGCGGCGGCGCCCGACACCTGGCCCTGGCCCTGGCCAGGGGGGCGCACGCGCCGATCCTGGGTCCTGGACGGACCTGTCATCATCATCATCATCATCATCATCATCATCATCATCATCATCATCATCATCATCATCATCATCATCATCAGCATCATCAGCATCATCATCATCAGCATTACCATCATCGTCATCATCATCAGCATCATCAACATCATCATCATCAATACCATCAACGGCATCAACACCATCATCATCATCATCATCGTCATCATCATCATCATCATCACCATCATTATCATCATCATCATCAGCAGCATCATCATCATCACCATCATCACCATCATCGTCAATCTGCATCAGCACCAGCACCGCCAGAGGCGGCGACACGACATCGCTCGCATGCAGAGGGTCGCCGCAAGGGTCTGCGCGGCATGGCGTGCGGTGTCGTGGTGGCTTGCCCGCTCCCCCTCCGACGTCTGAGGGCTCGGCTCAGCAGCTGTACGAACATCACATAAGTGTGGTATGCAAGCACATGGGGCGGCGACATGATCTGTGTCCATGTCGTCGTCGCCCACAAGTGTTCGCGGAGATGGCCTCAGGCGTGGTTGCAGGAGGCCCTCGCCGCGCGCGTTGCGCGGGCGAGGGGCAACGATAGGGGGGGGACTGGCACAGGGGGGGGGGGGCACGTCGCCCTGGAGTCGGCGACACGTCGCCGATAGATCGGCCACTGGCACCCGACAGTGAATCCGCGCGCGCCTGGGCGAGGTGGGGCTGCCAGACCCCTATCGGCGATCCACGGGCGATTGGGGGTCGATGCGTCCCCCCCACCTCGTGCAGATGCACGATGGGGATGCAGGGGCCTTGGGAGGGGCCGCCTCGAAGCTCCTCCGGCGGGGCGAGCCCGATGAAAGGGGACAAGGAGGGGCCGAGGAGGCAAGGATGCAAGGGTACCCTTGGGAAAATGTGCCCATCCTCACTACAGGGCAGGTTTCAACACACAGGAGCTTTTAACATATATGATTTCTCATACATGATTAATGTATGCATAGACTTATGCATGAGCTCGTCGTGGTCTTTAGCGTTAAATCCCTGCATTTTTGATACGTGATCCGCACGTGGAGCATGTACTGAAAACGGCACTGTATGCGGGCTGACTGTGGCCGTGCCCCCCTCGCGTTGCCTCCTTGGGCGAGAGGCCCGCGGCCCACTGCCGTGCCCTTCGGCCAGGGGGGCGGCGAGCGGTTCCTCGGCCGCGAGCCCCCCAGCGACGAGGTCGTGGGTGGCGCAGGCGTCGCCTCCCGCCGTGCGAGAGGGGGCCATCGGGGCGGGAGGATGCGAGGCTGGAGCTCCTGCATGCTCAGGCCCCCTCGCGTCGTCAGTGCACAAGTGCCCTCCCCCCTCCCCCGCCATGACATGAGCATTCAAAAACTGTGAGGGGGGGGGTCCTGCTCTGAGTTGCGGTGCCTGTCGGCACTCAGGCTGGCCTCGTGGCTCGCCTGCTGCTGAGTTGCGATGCCTGTCTGCTCTCAGCCTGGCGTCGTGGCCTGTTCTGCTGCCCCTTCCTCCTCTCCTTCCTCCTCCTTCTTGGTTGGACGCGCTCGCTGTCTGAAGTCCCCTTTCTTCTACTCGTGCCTACTTCACCTCTTGGTTCTTGATCCTGCCCCTCATCCTCCTCCAACTCCTCCTCCTCCTCCTCCTCCTCCTCCTCCTCCTCCTCCTCCTCCTCACTACCACCTCCTCACCACCTCCACCATCATCATCACCATCAGCATCACCACCATCATCATCAGCATCAGCATCAGCATCAACATCAGCATCATCATCATCATCATCAGCCTCATCATCAGCAGCAGCATCATCCTCGTCATCATCATCATACTCATCATTATCAGCATCAGCATCAGCAGTGGCAGCATCATCATAATCAGCATCAGCAACACCATCATCATGATCAGCATCGCCATCATCACCATCAACATCACAATCGCCATCATCAGCATCATCATCAGTGTCATCATCAGCAGCACCATGATCGTCATCATCATCGTCGCCATCACCTTCAGTATCATCATTCACACCATCGTCATCATCAGCAGCATCATCATTATCGCAATCATCACCACCGCCATCATCATCAACAACAGCACCATCATCACCATCAGCGTAATTGTCATCGGCATCAGCATCATCCTCATCACCATCGTCATCACCATCAGCAGCATCAGCATCATCGGCATCATGATCAGCATAATCATGACCATCGTCCTCACCATGAGCATCATCATCAGCATCAACACCAGCGTCACCAGCATCATCAGCATCGTCGTCGTCATCATCATCGTCAGCATCAGCACCATCACCATCACCATAACCATCACCATCATCATCATCGTCGTCGCCATTATCATCAGTATCAGCGGCAGCAGCATCATCATCCCCCCTCGTCCTCCTCCGCCTCCTCCTCCTCCTCCTCCTCCGTCCTCATCTGTCCTCCTCCTCTACCTCCTCATCCTCCCCCTCCTCCTCCTCCTCCCCCTCCTCCTCCTCCTCCTCCTCCTCCTCTTCCTCCTCCTCCTCCTCCTCCTCTTCGTCCTCCTCCTCCTCCTCCTCCTCGTTCCCCGTCCTCCTCCTAACAATCGTTTCCCCCCTTTCACGCACGCGATATGCGCCACCTGCGACAACGCAGCGACCGTTCCCACCCGTCTTCCTCCTCCTCCTCCTCCTCCTCCTCCTCCTCCTCCTCCTCCTCCCAAAATAAGACACCGCACTCGTCCAGAAGCTGGAGGCCTCCGACGGCCGCCCGAAACCTCACGAGAAGGCCTCCCCAGAACCTCCGAGGGGCTCCGACAGAGCCTCCTCTCGCCATCGTTCGGACGTCCATTTCCCGTGCATGTTTCGGTTTCGTGCGTGTTTTTTGTTTGCTCGATGGTCCAGGATGGTCCTCGATGGTTCTCGCCGAAGGAAAATGCACACGTCCGAGCGATGCCAAGTCCCGGAGACCTCGAGACGGGCCGCGGCGGCGCCTCCCATCAGCCGCGCGTGGGCGCCCTCGCCCGAGGGCTCGAGCAGGGCCTGGTAGGCCTCGCCGTCCGCGAGGCCGCGCCAGTGGGGGTGCCCGTCGAAGCGCTCGCAGAGGAGCGCCTCGGCTTCGGCGGGGCGGCTCCTCGCTCCTCCTCCTCCTCCTCCTCCTCCTCCTCCTCCTCCCCTCCTCCTCCTCCTCCTCCTCCTCCCCCTCCCCCTCCTCCTCCTCCTCCTCCTCCTCCTCCTCCTCCTCCTCCTCCTCCTCCTCCTCCTCTTCCTCCTCCTCCTCCTCCTCCTCCTCTGTTTCTGTTTCCCAGGGCGGAGGTGGTCGGTGACACGCCTCAGCCAGCAAGAATCCGCCCCTCACTCAGGAGGTTAAACCATTTCCCATGCCGCGCGCCGTCGGTGACAGGCACGGGGCGGCAAAGCGAGCAGCGGGCGCGCCGCTGCCACTCACGGCCATCTTTCACGCACGCAGGACGGGCAGAAGGTGTCGTCGCAACTGTCCTCGCAGATGTAGATGGCGCCATCTACGGGAATCATGATGCCGCAGGCGGCGCAGGGCAGTGGGTCGTCGAACGGATTCGAGTCCCTGTCCAGCACGTGCCCCTTCGAGCAGAGCCTGCGGAGTCCCACCTTCACCGAATCGTCCTGCGCGAGCTTCACGGCCAGCTACACGAAGGGCTGCTCGCACGCCGACGCCGCCCTCGTCCGCTTCAGGGCCGCGGCGGAAAGGGCGACCCACTCCAAGTACTCGATCAGCTTCTGCTCGGAGTCCTGGCGCTCGAGGTCCAGCTTCACGATGGACTCGGAGCTCTCCTCCACGAAGCCCTGGATGACCTCCGCGTCGGCCTGCGGTCCCTCGAGGCTGCCGCTGTCGCCGTCGGGGGGCTTGTCGGGCTCAATCTGCGGCTCGTCTGCCTGGCGGTGCGCAAGCTTTCAGCCCGCCGCCAGGCCCTGGCCGAAAGCGCAGGCCTCGCCGATGGGGTCGCTCCGCAGCCAAGCTCCTGGCGCCAGCACCGGCGTCGCCTCCGCGAGGCACTGCACGGCGTGCCCGCTCTCAGGAGGGCACGGCACGCACTCGAACGGCACGTCCACGATGCCGCCTGTCTTCACGAACTGGCATTCCAGTCTGGGCCCCGCGGCATCCCAGGCCAAGTCCTCGGGGGACGCGCGCGCGAAGCCCCTCGCTGGCACGCGAGCCGCATGCCACGCAGCGTTCCGCCGGCGGCGTTGGCCGCCTGGAACTGGCAGGCCCTCGGCGAGCAGCATCAGCGCAGGTCTCGCCGCGATCTCGCGGTCGCGCCATGAGCCCGGCGCCACCAGGCCGTCCGCTTGGAACTTGCGGAGGGCAGCCTCGCAGGCATGCTGGCGCCTGAGTCGCGCCGCGCGCCTCGCTGCCGAAGCTCCAAGGGCCAGTATCTCCTGAGCCCGCAACCTACTGGGCCGCCATGCGGCTGGCAGCGCCCCCGCAGCCATGCCAACCTTCTCCTCCAGGCCGAACTCCGACATCGCGGGGGCCGCGAAAAGGGGACTGGGACTGAGCCGCTCTCGAGCGAAGAAGCAGCAGGAGAGACAACCAGCAGCCAGCCCGCCTGGCGCCCAAGGCAGGCTTGAGCCAAAATGGCTACGGACTCCTCCTCCTCCTCCTCCTCCTCCTCCTCCTCCCCCTCCTCCTCCTCCTCCTCCGTGCCCCTCGGCCCCTCCTCTGCCAAAGGAGCCTCGTCCGTTCCTTTTGTTTTGCGCTGCGCAGTCGCCCAGTGGGCTGGCCACATGGCTTGTATGCGGGCGTTCGGGGGGAAACAAACCCAAGCGGGAAGAAGAAACAAAAACGCCCAGGAGCCTCGTCCATTCCTTTTGTTTTGCGCTGCGCAGACGCCCAGTGGGCTGGCCATGGCCGGTCTGCGGGCGTTCGGGGAGAAAAACAAACCCCTGCGGGAAGAAGAGAGAAAACGGAACGCAACACGGAATCGGCATGAGGCCTACGCAACGGTTCCCCAGGAGCTGGTGAAGTGCATGCCCTGAAACGGAGAGAATGCCCCTCGTCCGCCCGTCCTCCTCCTCCTCCTCCCCCTCCTCCCCCTCCTCCTCCTCCTCCTCCTCCTCCTCCTCCTCCTCTGCGTCGCTGGGAAGATGTGCTCGGGGTTCCCAGCTTCCTCTGCTCCCACTGGGCCTGCCAGCCACGGCGAGGCGCCAGGGGGCGACGGGTTCTTCGGGGCTGCTGCTGGCGCGGCCCCGAAACCCCAGCGGAGCCTTGAAGTCTCGGACGCCCCCCAGGTTAAGATTGCGGGGAGGTTTCTGGATGCTTGAGGGCGCACGGGGGGGCCGCGGGTCTTGGGGCCCTCCGGAGGCTCCCCGGAGTTTCTGGGGCGCTTGGGGCATGCTTGCGAAGGATTCTCCAAAGGATTTCGAAGCGAAGGAAGAGGGGAGTAAACAAGGCATAAGACGACCTGAACCCACGCTTATCCAGAATGTGTTGTTCATGCGGCGTTTGTTAAAACAATTCTGCGAGGAGAGGGAAAAGGAGGATCGGGAGTCTCACAGTGGACAGGCCCCATAATAAGCATTCCCCGGCAATCCGGATAATTCCCTGCAGAGTCTGGAGGGGATCCTGCGAAACTTCAGGGACCCGCGAACCCGGCAATCAGCTGGCAGACTTCTCTAGTGACGCCTCCACTTGCTAGGATGCCTCAGACGAGAGCCAAGCTCTCGAAGGTACGTCAAATTCGGGAGCTCACTGAACATCTCTTTGTTTCTGAAGACGTCCGCAGCGAAGCGCCCCGATACACCAAGTTCGGTATCCAACGCCTGAGCTCATCATCTCAATTATGAGGATGTCTAATGCGTCAGCTTCGTGGCAAGTCAGCGTCGTATAAGAACTCCTCCAATATTCGAATTGTTCGAGGGTGTCTCAGGCAAAACGATCCCGCACGACATATTGAATATCATACGCCCAATATCCATCATCTAAACAGTTTGAGGAGAAGCAACGTCGTAAAATGACTCCTCCAGCATCCCCGTTGTGTGAGTATGTATCAGACGAAACGCTCCACAAACGACTATGCTGCATATCTGACGCCGACGCCCGATCTCCGACATCTCAATGCTCAGGGGATGTGTATGGCAAAACCGTCATCTCTGGGAATCAACGTCGTAAAACAATTCCTCTGACATCTTCATGATGTGAGGATATCTCAAGCGAAACGCTCCCCCACACCATGCTGGTTATCTGACGCCCGATCTCCAGCATCTCATTGTTCTGAGGATGTCCCAAGCGACAACTTCATGCTTGCAAGTCATCGTCGAATTAGCCTGACTATGCAGCTGCGAGTTTCGCGAGGGAGATGAGACGAAAGAGGGGGGGCGCGCAAACTCCGAATAGCGCACGCGGTATAGCCTAAGCGGCTGCGAGTACCGCGAGGGTGATGAGACGAAGGACGGGGGGGCCAGCAAAAGGACTCCGGCGTGTATGAGGGGGGGAAACTGAAGCGGGCGAGCGGGGTGCCTTCTTGGTTTGGTCCGAGCCCCATGCGCGGCCGTTTGATCTCAATGTTCTCCCCACCGCTTTCTTCTCCCCCCTTCTCTCTCTCCCCCCATTTGTCCTCCCCCCCTGGAGCTCCCTATGGGGCCACGAACCGTATGAGGGGTGCGCCAAAATGAAGGTGGAACTGCATGCGAACCCTGCGGCCTTCGGTGGAGCACCCTATGGGGCCACGAAGCGTGTGAGGGGTGCGCCGAGATGGGGGTGGAACTGCATGCGAACCCTGCCACTGAGGCATTCGGTGGAGCTCCCAATCGGGCCACGAACGGTGTGAGGCGTGCGCCAAAATGAAGGTGGAACTGCATGCGAACCCTACCACTGAAGCATTCGGTGGAGCTCCCTATGGGGGCACAAACCGTGTGAGAGGGGCACCGAAATCGGGGCGGAACTGCATACGAACCCTGCCGCTGGGGCCTTCGGTGGAGGTCCCTATGGGGCCACGAACCGTGTGAGGGGTGCGCCGACATGAAGGTGGACCTGAATAACCCCGCCGCTGGGGCCTTCGATGGAGCTCCCTAGGGGGCCACGAACCGTGTGAGGGGTGCGCCGACATGGGGGCGGATCTGCATGCGAACCCTGCCACTGAGGCAGTCGGTGGAGGTCCCTATGGGGCCACGAACCGTGTGAGGGGTGCGCCGACATGAAGGTGGACCTGAATAACCTCGCCGCTGGGGCCTTCGATGGAGCTCCCTAGGGGGCCACGAACCGTGTGAGGGGTGCGCCGAAATGGGGGCGGAACTGCATGCGAACCCTGCCACTGAGGCAGTCGGTGGAGCTCCCTATAGGGCCACGAACCGTGTGAGCGGTGCGCCGAAATGAGAGTGGAACTGCATGCGAGCCCTGCTACTGAGGCAGTCGGTGGAGCTCCCGATAGGGCCACGAACCGTGTGAGCGGTGCGCCGAAATGAGGGTGGAACTGCATGCAAACCCTGCCACTGAAACATTCGGTGGATCTTCCTATGGGGCCACGACCCGTGTGAGGGGTGCAGGGTGCGCAGAAATGAGGGTAGAACTGCATGCGAACCTTGGCCATGTGGCCCTCGATGGAGCTCCCTAGGGGGCCACGAACCGTGTGACAGGGGCACCGGCATGGGGGCAGAAGTGCATACGAACCCTGCCGCTGTGGCCTTCGGTGGAGCTCCCTATGGGGCCACGAACCGTGAGAGAGGGGCACTGAAATGGGGGTGGAACTGCATGCGAACCCTGCCGCTGGGGCCTTCGGTAGAAATCTCTATGGGGCCACGAACCGTGTGAGGGGTGCGCCGGCATGAGTGTGGAGCTGCATGCAAACCCTGCCGCTGGGGCCTTCGCTGGAGCTCCCTATGGGGCCACGAACCGTTTGAGGGGTGCGCCGAGATGGGGGTGGAACTGCATGCGAACACTGCCACTGGGGCCTTCGGTGGAGCTTCCTATGGGGCCACGAACCGTGTGAGAGGGGCACCGGAATGGGGGCTGAACTGCATGCGAACCCTGCCGCTGGGGCCTTCGATGGAGCTCCCTGGGGGGCCACGAACCGTGTAAAGGGTGCGCCGAAATGAGGGTGGAACTGCATGCGAACCCTGCCGCTGGGGCCTTCGATGGAGCTCCCTATGGGGCCACGACCGTTTTGGGGCGTGCAGGAATGGGTGGGGAGCGATGACGATGATGGTGATGATGACGGCCGTAATGGTGATGACGATGGTGATTACGATGACAGTGACGAGTTTGATGATGATGATGATGATGATGATGATGATGATGATGATGATGATGATGATGATGATGATGTGATGATGATGATGTGATGGTGATGCTGATGATGATAATGATGAGATGACAATGATGCTGCTGATGATGATGATGCTGACGATGATGCTGATGGTGATGAAAATGATGGGAGGAGGGAGGAGGGGGAGGAGGAAGGAGAGGAGAGATGGACGCGGGGCGCTGTCTCTTCAAAACGAGCACCCAACACTGTATAGTTGGGAAAAACAGCTCCTGCAACATCCCCATGTTTTACGGACTTCTCAGTCGAAACGCCCACTCACACACCAGGTTAGAAATCCGACGTCTGATCTCCAACATCTCACTTTCTGATGATGTCTCAGGCGGAAGCGTCATTGTTTTAACATCGACGTCGTACAACAACTCCTCCAACATCCCCGTTGCGTGAAGATGACTCATGCGAAACGCTCGCCCCAAGACCATGTTGGATATCCGACGCCCGATCTCCAGCATCTCAATTGCCTGAGGCTGTCTCAGGCGGAGGCTGAATTTTTGAAACTCATCGACGAAAAAGCAACTCCGATATCCCACTCGTGTGAGGATGTCTCAGGCGAATCGTCACCCTGCCCCCCCCCCTCACACACACACACACACACACACACACACACACGCACACACACACACACACGCGCACACACACACTTACACACACTTACACACACGCACACACACACACAAGCACACGCACACACACACACACACACATACACACAAACACACACACACATTCACACACCGTCGATTTTGAAAACCAGTGTAGTGAAACAACTCCTCCAACAAACCCCGTCCTGTGAGGATGCTCCAGGCTCCGGCGAAACGCTACCCCCAAAAAACTGTTGGAGATCCGACGCCCCCGCGGACGCGTGACAAAAAACGTGCCCCGCGCGCACGCCCCACCCCGCCACTCCGCGCGCGCATTGGCACGCGCAGCGAGTCCGGCGCGAGTAAGGTGAACCCCCCCTTCTGGAGGCCCTCTGTCGCCAAGAGCGCGAGAAAACACACACTTTTTTGGTCTGCGGGGCGAGGGCGAACCTCTTCCGCTAAAAGCTAGGCGGGCTACGCACAGCTTTAATTAGGGAGACGGGGCACAGGAAGGAGGGGCCTCAGGCGGCCGGAGCGGGCGGAGCCCGGGGAACAGGCGGTGCCGAAGTGGATGTGCAGGAAGAGGCACACCAAGGACAGGGACCGAGGGCGCGCGAGCAAACAC